GGGTTTAGGGTTGAGGGCCTTGCGAGCTTCAGAGATCAGTGTCTCTGGGGTTTGACGAGGATACAGATCCGACTGGCTGGGTGCAAGAAGTCCAGAGAGTCTAGTGCAACCCGAGCACTGCGCAACGTCCGCGGAGCGGAAGCATGAAGCCACTGTCGGGCCGACCTCCGTCGGGGCTTTCTCGCAGCAGCAGCTGCTGGGCCACTACCAAACCAGTAACGATTCACGATAACCACCGCCTACACCACCACCACTGGCCTCCTCCTCCTCCTGCTCCTGCTCCTCCTCCTACGACTTCTTCTACTACTACTACGACTACTCCTCCTCCTCCTACTACTACTCCTGCTGCTTCTTCTACTACTACTACTACTACTACTACTACTTTTACTACGACGACGACGACGACGACGCCGACGAGGACTACGACGAGGACTAGGACACTAGCACTCTGACTACGACGACTTAGGCAATACGATCATCCTTCGACTGACCGGGAGTTGCGACGTATCTGGTGCGAAGGACGATCCTCCGATGTGGATGCTTCGGGTTTCCACGTCTTTTCGACACGTCTCCACTGACTTCCAAAGCCAGGCATCACCAAAGAAAAGCCCGAAACCCAAGACAAGAGTCCTCTACCGCCTCTACCGGTACATCCCTTCCGGGCCTCCTCATCCGCACCTGGAAGCTGCAAGGCCAACCTGCTTATGGATCTGGTCTTGTATGGTCTGGTGATGTCTGGTGGATATGTTGGGGTTCAAGGCCCCGGGGTGGAAACGAGGTCCTTATGTCCTGATTCTGCAACGATACTGCAGGCACTCCGAAGCAAACTGCGAAGATGTAAAGAGAGGATCAAGCAACAGCGACACTGTGCTTTTCACTCCACCCCAGAGGCTTACGCCGCAGTCAAAGTCCAATCTCTTTGCTGAGTCATGGAAGTAGGAGCACCAGCTGAATGGTCTCTTCCGACCGGGTCTCAAATCCCAACAGAACCCTATAGAAGCGGTAACCGTTGTCATCACCCTTATGGCTCATAGCAGCCCTAAACCCTTATAGCAATCCTTGCCAGCACAAGAGTTGGAGAGACAAGGAGCAGCACGTGCAGCGTCCAGGCGGCGGCTTCCACCGAAGAGAAGCTCTTCGGTAGCTCCTCCCACTGGGGCTTCAACGGGGTTCAACGAGAGTTAAAGCTGCATAGGTTCATCATAGGAGTTCTCACTGGGGGTTTTCGGGTGTTTGCAAAGGCCTGGAGGCTTTGGACGTAAGAGTTTACGCCAGGGTTTGCCATCTAGGACCCCTGACAGTCTAGAAAAAAAGAAGTCTATGATGGTGTTCATGGCCGTTTGGATGGGTTTGTCGCTTAAGGGCCTTGGGGCCTTTGGGGCCTTTGGGCAAGCTTTGAACCCTTTCGGAAGATGGGCCTTTGTGGGAAGAAACCGCTCAGCCCGGGGCTCGAAAGACATCCGGAGCAAAGTCCCCCATGTACCAACCCTTTCAGGCAGCCAAGCCTTGGAGCTTTCAACGGGGGTCGATTGAAGGCAAGGGATCTCAGAAGGCTTTCGGGCTCCTTGGTCATCAAGTCTTTCACCGACCGGGCAGTCCTGAGAAAACGAAGGCCACCGTTTCCGGCTTCTTGTGGCGGCGGCCGTCAGTTTATGCTACGCCGCTACTACCCTGAACCCGTTATCACCTGAGCCCTCAGCCCCAAGGTCAGTTCTCAAACGCTTCGGCCTTTGGCGCTTAGGGATGAAGCGTCCTCGCCTCGTGAAACTGTCGAGTCGAGGAGCCGCTGCGTCGGTGTTTAAGGGGTCTTTTAAGGAGAGGAGAAGAGAACAGAATGAGGGTTTAGGGTTCAGGGTTTAGGTGGAGACGAGAAGAGAACAGTATAGGCTGAAGAAAACGAGGGGCGGGACATGGTTCGAGTAGCTCTCCAAATGCATCTTTCTGAGGCTGTATCATACCATCCACTACTGCTCTCAACAGAAACTCTCATGTACCCAACCAAAAATCCTGACCATCTCTGACATCCGATCACCAAGCTTTTGTTCACAGATCCGCCTGCACCATGCGGGCAGGATCTAGCAGGGTTGGGTTATGTTGGGTTCAGCTTCTTCGGGCACCAGGACTTCGAAGAGACTTGCTGGGCAAAGCTGAACAGCTTCGAAACGTCTTCTCCGCCACGTCTCCGTCCCGCCACGTCCGAGGCAAGCGCCGTTTCTGAGGAGCAGGGGTCGAGGAGAATACACTTTGGTGTCTTGCGTTTTGCTTGTCTACATGATCTTCTACTAGACTATCCTACATACTATGCTATGCTATGTGACAATGTGATCTTATATCCTACAGGCAAAAAAACTCCTTTGGCGGCAGAGGTTGGTCTGCTCTTCGGATTTCGGCCCTCGGGGCTTTGGAAGGGGTTTGGCTTTTCAGGGCCTGCCCGACACCCGTAACCCGAAACCCCAAAGCCGAAACCCTAAACCCATCAAGGCTTCTGGCAATGTTAGTATACTTCAGTACATTATAGGATTTTATTTCGCATCGCAGTCCTAACCCCGGTATCAGATCAAGGCACTGACGGTCATGATGGCGTGTCGCACTTTCCGTCGCCGCTGCTCCAAAGATCCCACCCTGATCTGGCGGGCTTTGGCGGTGCAGGGTTGTGCTTAGCGCTTAAGTTTCTGGGGTCTCCTTGGTCTTTGCAATTGTAGGATTTCCGAGTTACTCGCAGGGTTATCCCGATTGGTTTCAAATCTACTTGTGCCTTTGCCGTCGCAGTTGCTGCTAGCCCCAACCCCAAGTCATAAGCTCGAAACCCCAAAACATAAGCCACCAGCCCCACGTCCCAAAGGCCTGAACCCAAAGTCCCAAAGTGCAAATCCGCAGCCTGAAATCCGAAGAACCCTTCTACCCAAGTATAACTTCCCGGACGATGAGCAAATCTTATTTAGACAATGAGCTGACCATCGTCGTTGCCCCAAACGTTATCACCAAGTAAACATATTATGTTTTGGCTTTCTCACCCCAGAACTCCAAACCCCGACACCCCCCTCCCCCAGAAAGAAAACAAAAAAAAAAACAAGCCCCCTGACATACGCCCATACGTCCTAATTAAGGCGCCCTCAACTCGCCCATAAACCTAAATGCCCTCAACCCCAAAACCGCCGAAAGGCAGGAGGGAGTCCGCGGAGAGCGCTGCCTGCCGGGATGCAGGGCTTAGGGCCTCCTCTTATGCAGGGTTTAGGATTTCAGAAGATTTCGGGTTTGGGACTTAAGGCTTTAGGGCTTCCTGGGGGTATACAGTTGGTTACGACAGTATTACCATGTGTGGAACTTGAGTATGGCATGAAGTTAACTTCTCCGTTTGAGAACTTGTTCAGACTTCCCCTCCAGCTGGAACATGAGCCGTGCGTTTGCGACACCTCACCCCCGAACCTCGGACATTTCCGCATGCTCCGCTCTTGATCCCTGACCCCCGTCTCCCTTCTTTCTCCCCCTCTTCGGTCGGCCCCCAGACGGTCCGCTCAGAACGCCCCCATCTCCGCCTCCAGGAGCTCCATGGCACGGAGCCGCTGCACTTCCTGCGGACACGGCAAAACGCGGTGGTATCTTTGCTTCTGTGAGGGTTTTTTGCGAGGCCTTCTAAGACTCCGGGAAGGGGGGCCTAGAGGTTTGGCAATGTTGCAACTTCCAAACTCTGCGAGGAGGGCCCTGAATCCAGAAGGCCTTTTCAACACATCACCTCCTACCACACCGCCCTTCTGGAAGCCGGGGGGAAAAAAATACCGCCGGAAACGGGGGCGGCCTGCTGAACCTCTGCGAGCTGCAAGCTTCCCAGTCGGGCGCTGCCCACGGTCGCAAGGAGGGCTTCGACCTGCGCTTCCGAAGGCTACAAGCTAAGGACCTAGACCTCCTCTACTACTACTACTACTACTACTACTACTACTACCACTACTACAACTACTACTACTACTACTACTACTACTACTAATGACTCCTCCTCCCGCAGGTGCTCCTGCTGCTGCTAATATCATGGATATCCTTCTTCCTCATCCGGGTTAAAGGGCAATATGCTCTTTTGACGGCCGCAGGCGACAAAGACAGCTCCCTGCCTTCCGCACGTCTCCCGTCGCCAGCTTCTTCTCCGCCGTGGCGCGGAGCGCGGGGCCCAGCGCTCCCAGCAGGGCCTCGATCTCCGCGGCCGCGGAGCGCTGGGCGCGGGGAGCGTGGAACCTGAGACCCGAAAGAAGAGGAGACTCTCGGAGATCGGGCTCGGCTCTTTGTTGGAGAACAGATAATATAAGATAAGATAATACAATATAATAAGAGCTTTTTTGGGGGGGGAGGGCCGCAAACCGCCCGTGGCTTCTTGCTCTCTGCGGCGCAGGGGCTCGGCGAGGTCCAGAGCCTCCATGAACTCCTGAAGGCGCAGACAGAAAAAAGGGGGGTTTTGGGCCCCCCCCCCCCCTTCGAAAAAAGGAGCCGGGGGGAGGGGGCTTCTCCGAAAAAAAGGAGCTTCGGCGCTTCACTCTTCGGCTAAAAAACGACTCAGAGATGCCCTGTGCTCCTCCAGCTCCCCGGCCGCCGCCCCGGCGGGCTCCAGGAGCCTCTGCGCCTTCAGCAGGGCCTCACGTCAGGGACGTCTCAGAGACAAAGAGGACTCTGCGGCTTTTTGAAGTCCCCGCTTTTTTTGGGGGGGTTTTGGGTTGCATTGCATTGGCGGCCCACTTGCTGGGGTTTTGGAGGTGGAATTCAGGGCCAACTGTGCCTTCGAAGCTTTCGGGAGGACTTTCGCTAGCGAGGTCCCCCTAGAGCTCCAGCTGCCTAAAGAGTAGCTGGTGAAGCCTGCAGTATGTAAGCCCTTATTGTGGAGAACTGGAGTCCTAGGTTACCTCAACTTCAACCGGAGCTCCACAGACACTGGTTGAAGTTCCTGCCTCCTGCAGGCAATGGTGGTCCCACCTTCTTCGGAGGGACAGCTGCAGGGTGACCTGGGCGAAGGGAGGTAGAGGGCACCTGTCCCTTCACAGTTCAGTTTAGGCTCATGGGGCAGAAAGAAAGAAGCAATCCCCCTGCTGCTACTGCAATCCCGTCCCCCGCCCCCCCCCCCTCCCCGGCATCGTGAGAAGGAAGCGGAAGAAACGCAAGGAAAGCCGTACAAGCCTCATCCTCCGGTTCGGGGAGACGTCCGGCCAGCCAGAGCGCGGCGTTGGCATCCTGGCAAGCCGCCACGGAGCGGGTACCGCTTGGGGTTCCGGCCTCTTTGAAGGCAGCTTAAGGCTTAAGTGTCTGGGTTTCGAAACCCAGTGCCTCTAACTCTTGGGCTTTGGTGTAGTTGCACAGTTGAGTAGTTCCGGAGAATGCTCGTGCCTTGAAGTTCTATGCAGGGGAGAACGTGTCAATCACCGCCATCAAACCCGACAACCAACACCCGATCCAAATACCCGATCTCTGGAAAACCCGACAACCCGACACTCGGCTATAGATTATTTATTATATCTTATATATTAAAGATTATATATATTCAAGATTATATATTATAGATTATAGGGTTTTGGTGTCTGAGAAGCAGCACCTTCTCGCTGCCGAGGCGGAGGGCCTCTTCGAAGACCGCCTGCGAAAATTTGTGGGGACACAGCGGTTCGGGTCATGGGGGCTCTCCTGCGCGATGCTTCGGGTTTGGGGTTCAGGAAGCGCTGGCTGCAGATGCAGCTCACGGTCCCTTTCTTTCCGACTTTCCTCAGGCTGAATGGCTGGCTGGAGCCTTTGTCATCGCGGATTGCGGCAGATGGGCGCTTGACTTGCACAGCCCTTTGAACACACAACACGGGGTCTGTCGCTCGCTCGCTCTCTCTCTCTCTCTCTCTCTCTCTCTCTCTCTTTGGGCTTTTCCTTGGAGCCCCCGCCTCGACCTTCGGTGCACACTCCGCCAAGGCTTGGCGCCCGAGGGCTCCCTGCAGGTCCTCCGCGGAAGCCTTCCTGGTCGGAGCCCTCTTCAGGGTTTCAGGGTCCAGGGCTCGGCCTTCCTCTGCTTTAAGAGGTTCCACTAGCTCTTATGCGTGCGTGCAGGCTTCCTAAAATCCAAAACGAACCCCTACATAAGCAAGCAAACTTCGAGAAACTCACGTCCAAAAGAACTTCTGCAATCTGATACCGCCCTTTTGAAGACGTTCCACAGCCTGCCCCTGATTTCCAAGAGCTGCTCGTAGGTCTTAGGATTTGGGATGATTTCGGGCGTAGGCTTTAGGGTTTGCTTAAACTACCATAACCTACTTGTTTTGTAGGCTCTGATTGTAAGCCCGAGTATAGATTTATATTGAAAAGGAGGGTCGATTTGGATTTGAAGCAAATTTCATAAGGCGCTATCACATCATTCCTGTACTGGCTATGTAAGAGCTGCAAGTTAAGGCTTAGGGATCAAGGTTTGGGTTTAGGGTTCAGGCTTTCAGGTGTAGAGACGGCGCAGTAACTGCTGGCACGCTACCAGTGCCATAAAGGCCGTAGAAAGATCCTAAAAAGAAAGCGCATCCAGCGTCGTCGGAAGATTCCCTGAACCCTAAACCCCCAAACCATAGCGCTGCATGCTTCATGACCAGGTGAATCAGACGAAGTGGTCCTGACAGGAATCCGACTGTTTAGGGTTCTGAATCAGGGTTCCAAATTTCTGACATTCCCAAAAGGTCGATGACCCAGCAGACCCACCTGAACCCCTAAGGCCCCTAAAAGGCCCGCAAAGACTGGGCAGAGCCCATGAAAGCTCGCTTGTCAGAGCCCTGAAACCCGGCCTCAGGCTCTCCAGCGCCTGTGCCAGCTTCCGCTTGTGTCCATCGCTACTGGGGTCGAAGGCCGGCACCTGCGAGGTTCAGGGGTTCAGGGATTCATGGGATTTTAAGGCTTAGGGTCTTGGGCCCTGTGTTAACCCACGTCTTCTCCTGTATACAGGTTGGTGGTTGCGCGCCGCAGGGCTCTCTGCCAACGGTCGGCGGACCGTCATATTTTGTCCAGTTTCAACAGGGATGAGGGGTTTAGGGCCAAGGGCTTATGAGTACGCGGTTTAGGCTGTTGAGGTTCAGTACCAGCATGGCTCGCTTGCATTGTCTCATGCACATGTGCCCGACCTCGGCTAGCAGCTCCAGTGCGTGAGGCACTGCCGTGGGGCGGGAACCATCTTCCCTGACCTCAAGGGAGGGGTTACCACTACTGCCACAACTACCACTGCTGCTGCTGTTGCCGCTGCTGTGTGGATACAAGGCACCTCAGAATTACAAAAAGCTACTGCTACTGCCACTGCAACTACAACTGCAACTACAACAACTCCAAAGGACCCCGTAATTACTCTACTCTTACTTCTTCTTCTTCTAATACTACCACCTTACCACCAGCAGAACGGCGACCACCATTGCTGCGACGACTACGACCACGACTATGCGAAGACGACAACTACTACGACAACTACTACAGCTCCCACTGATCCTGCTGCTACTGCGACTGCTGCGTCTACTGCCACTACTGCTACCACTACCACTACTGCTACTGCTACTCCTTCTATTACTTCCGCCACTACCCCTGTAAGTACGACTACTGCACGCACTACTGCTCCGACGACGACTACTATGACTGCCACTGCTACTGCTAAAGCTGCTGCTGCTGCTGCTGCTGCTGCTGCTGCTGCTGCTGCGACTACGACTACGACTACCACGACGACTACTATATACAACGACGACTACGACTACGCGACTGCCACTACTGCTACTACAACTACGACGACGACGGCGACGACTACTACCACTATGACTTATACGACCACTACGACCACGACGACGACGACGACTACTAGCAATAGCCATAATAAGAACAACAATAAATACTGAAATAATAATACCAATCATCATCATCATCACCCACAAAACAACAACATCATTATAACACGACGCCGGCTACCACTACCTCTATCCCTACCCCTACCCACACCGCTAGCACCATCACCACCACTTCCACCACCGACACCACCGACACCACCACCACTTTGACAACCACTACCACTACGACTGCGACGACGGCTACTGCTGGCCCTGACTCTGAGCACGCGGCGGCCAGGTTTGCGAGGCCCTGGCTGGCACCTTCGGACTTTCCGAATAGGTGAACACCCAGGGTATCAAATGGTATATAATTCTAATATGGTATACCGTACATGATTTTTCTTATGGTTTGTCTCTATATATATATATATATACATATATATATGTGTGTGTGTATGGATGGTCACACACACCCCACCCCCCCTTGATCTGCCTCCGTCTTTCTTCGACATGTATAACACATAGGAAAAACCGCAAATACCGGTGACTTTGCTGTTGTCAGAAAAACAATATCCACCCAGAACTGTCTCGCAAAATCGGGGGCTCGGAGCATAACGAGGCAAACTTCAAACAAAGCGGGACCGTAATAAACGAACAGTGTATAATGCCCACTAAATAGTGCTCACGACATAACATCGACATCTGCAACATTATACTGAATGCTAGTTAAATACAAAATAAATACTGTGAGCATATTCACCAGGTGTCGGTTAAGTACTCACAAATTATCAAATATGCACTACATCCCCCTAGGCACCTATATTTGAATAGTAAACAGATGCTACTTATATAACACAACCTTCGGTGGAAATATGAAGAAAACACTGAACATCATGGAACCGTTTATCGTGCATTTAAGATTCAAACCAAACTTACAGTATTGTTTAACGTCTTTGTTGTAGTAACGGTGTTGTCCCATGATTTGTAACTTCGTCGACTAACGGCGTTGCGTTTCCACAACATGTGAGAGTATACTTCAGATCATGAATAGTCAGAAAACCTGAAGAGCCCAAAACGCTGGGTACCTGATCCCGCTTAGAGCCGCGTTTCGAGGTACCAGTAACTGCAAGAAGGAATAGGAGTATATAATAATTAAACAGAGAAGACGATGTAGAAACTTGACTACATATATGCATAACTATCTACATATATATATACATATGTATGTACGTATGTATGTATGTATGTACATATGTATGTATGTATGTATGTATGTATGTATGCATGCATGTACGTATGTAAGTATGTATGTACAGTAAAGTATATTTAGATACATATCTATACAAAGTATGTAATGTAATGTAATGTCATGTCATGTCATGTAATGTAATGCAATGTAAATCAATGTAATGCAATGTAATGCAATGTAATGTAATGTCATGTCATGTAATGTGACGTAACGCAATGTAGCACAACGTAAGGTGATGTAACGCAACGTAATGCAATGTACTGTAACGTAACGTAACGCAACGCAACGTAATGTAATGTAATGTAATGTATAATCCCATCTAAACTCATCTAATCTAGCCTAATCTAATCTAATCTAGCCTATAATCTAATCTAATGAAATGTAGCACACGTAAGTATGTATCTTACCTGGCTATTACACCCAGGATCCTGTTGCCCGGGTATCATACCGATGCTCTGCAGACCCCGATCGAAAGAAATTGGAAGTTCAGAGACCTGAGGAAATCAACCCCAACAGCCTCTACCCCTACCCCCCAAACCCCAGCCGCCCGAAGCCTAAAACCATCCTAGATTCCCAAAACACCTGCCTCTGGCAAAGCTCGGGCGAGTGTCCGCAGCCTCCTTGGAGCCGCTGAGCTCCTGACTAAAAGGCTCGGGAAGTGTCCCTGGGGTTTAGGGTTTAGGGTTGAGGGAAAACCCGTCAACTTTCAAACCCCAGGCCCCGGGCCTGGGGAAGCGACTCCACCACGTTGCGGAGACCCGACGACGCTGCAGGAGGAGCGCAGTTCACGAGGCCGCTCGCCCCTCCCCCGGGGGCGCACTGCAGCGTTTTAGGGTTCCTCTAGGGTTTAGGGGTTTAGGGGTTTAGGGGTTTAGGAGTTTAGGGGTTTAGGGGTTTAGGGTTTAGGGTTTAGGGGTTTAGGGGTTTAGGGGTTAGGGTTCAGGGTTCCTTGATGCATGGGTCTGCTGCAGTAGCGTCAGACTTTGGAGGCACAGCACTACGGGAACCGGGGGTGCTGTTGAGTCGAGTGCTGATGCCAGCCTGAAGCACATTGAACATGGACCCATCTTCCAGTACCGTCCCTGTCTTCCCAGTTACAGTCTGCTGTAAGATGCTCAGTTGCTTTGAGATTCTAGTTCATCAGCTAGACAGCATGAAACCCAAACTGCATCAAAACCTGCTCGAAGGAATATTTCGGTCAGCAGCACGGCATCTCCCCACCCCCACACCTGGTGTTGTGATCAGAACCCGCTTAAGCAAAGGTCTCCATCCGGACCCGCAGTGGATAGGACATCCTTCGGATCTCAGCCAAGGGAACAGCATTCACAAGTCACAAAACCCCACGGTCGCCTCGTGCGACGCTGGGCCTGGTCTCGGATTCCTCGGAAGCGCTCGCCTGTGGCAGCGTTGAAGGCTGAGGCACGCAGCCGGCTGATGGGAATCCAAAGTGGGACAGACGCTACACCCACGACACAGGGTAGCGTTCTGCAAGTCACTCCAGCATATGTCACCCAGGTTGGAACAGGTCTCGCTTTCCTGTGACAAGATTTGCTGACAAGTGTGCTGTTTCCATCTGCAGCTTCTGCCGACTGGATTGGGCCGCGCACTCGCGAGACGACAGCCCAAATTCAGCTTATGCAGCCTGCTCTGAAGGCCTCAAAGATCATCTGCCCACCCATCTACATCGATGGAAGTCCATACTCATACCTGCAAATAAGGTACCCGGTTCAGAAGGGCCCCAGCGTTGAGCGCGCTGTGGTTCACGAGGGAAGCACCTCCATTCGGTTCGCGAATGGGTTTCTGCCAACTTCCATCGTCTAGTGCATTGAATGCTGCATAACACAAGAAAGCGAAGATGTGTTCTATGCTTGTTCGCGACACTCGCAGGTGAAAGATGCTCTGCACCTTTGCGACACTTCTTCCTTCGGGTGTAAGGGGAGTGTCAATCCCCCTGGCCCATCGGGCCCCCCAATATTTGGGGCTTTGGAGGCAGTCGGGCAACAGCTACACGTACGGGGACAACTGTACTTTGCGACACTCTCTCTCTCTCTCTCTCTGTATGCATGTGAATGTCTTTGTGTAAAACAGGATGTCCACGTGCATGTGCATGTCGGCGTACATACACCTGTGTGCACATGCCACGGGTATATGTCACATACACTGTTGCACAATTGATCTTGAGCCGGGGATCTGGGGCTCCACAGATATTATCGAAGCGTAACGGGTGGACGCAGAACCGGAACCCGACATGAGATACCAGACCATGTGCGAAATCGGTCGATTGTACACCAGAACGCACCCCACACCGCCCCCCTCTACCGCTTTCCCCCCCAAGATCAAAGACGGCTGAAGAAAATCAATGAGTATTTCGGCCGTGGTCTGGAAGGGGGAAGCATCTGAATACCTTGCAGACATGGTCTAGAACCCTCGCACTCTGCAAGCGGCAACAAGAAGCAAAAACCCGAAAAACCCAAAACGGCCGAGAGGCCACCGGCCGCGAGGTTCGTGAGCCCCCTTGGCCGGCTCGGCTCTGCTGGCAGCCCAGAGCCGGAGGGGCCAAAGGCCAGGGTAAGCCGAAGTCGGCCGACCTGGGGGGGCCCTGGGTTTAGGGTTCAGGGTTTCGGGTTTCGGGTTTAGGGCTCTTTCTTGGGGTTTAGGGTGATAAGGATCCTACTTCTTTCAGGTCCCTCTCATATGTCAGGAGGCCAAAGAAAACAATAAAAAAAAAAGAGCTCAACGGCTTTCTCTCGCTCCGTCTCGTTCTCGGTCTTTCAGACCTGCACCTAAGGACAATGAAGGTGTTATAGTTCATAGTATGTGTACATCTGATGGGCTAGCTATATAGAAACCGGTTGGACCAACCTGTCAATTGAAATCGTTAAGAATACCGACAATTACGAAGTTTTGTCCTTCACATCTAAACATTTGCAAAAAACGAACACGTTTCACAGCCTAAAACTCTATTTTGTAAAGCCAGATTTGCCGTCTAGAATTTCGAACACTCAAAAAATCGGGCGCTATGGTGTCCAAAAATCCACAAGTTACAAAACCTACGAAACCGCTTTGGAATGGCACAACTTCCGAAACCGAACATTCCAACAATTCAACAGTTAATTACCCAAGCCTACAAACCATGCTTAAAAAAATCGGACTTCCAGAAATGCAAGCCTTCGCCTTAATTTTTCTGATGTCTGTAGATTTCTTGGAGCTATGGAATTGCTGCCATCCTTTGAAATTGGGAATGCCTGGAATGCTTGGATTTGCGTGGAAGATTTGGAATTCGGAAGTTTTGGAATTTGTAAAACTTGTGCGACTTCTGGAATTCGTCACATTTCTTAATCGGTTTCCCGCTCGCGCGTATACAAAGATACCTGTCAGACTCGTATTTAATTTGCTTGTCTTGAAACTGATTCTCATTGGGAAGTTTGGAATTTACATCTTAACACTTGGTATTTATCAAAACAACCGATATAATTCGTTTGCGACTTGCTTGAAATACACTGCTATGTCTAGCTAGTGGCTCAACTAAGACGAGGGCAAGCATTCACAAGTATTTGTGCCCAACTACATTCTTCTGCAACTACCATGTAATGGACGTTCAGCTAGTAACTATTCCGTCAAGTATAATAACAAACATCTTGCCGAAGTTTAATCAGTACACAAGTTAAGCTTCGTGCCTCAATCCGGCCCTATTAAGTTGTGTAGGCTCCTTAAGTACTACTTCAATGATGAGTATCTAACCCATACTCTTTCGAGTGCCCCTTCGGTGCTGGACTAGATGTGCCTCTTGTTCTACAAGTTTGTCGCCAAGCTAGTCTAACATTGGACTCATACGTGCTGGGTGTATGCCATTCACAGTTTTCAGGCGTGCCGCGATCACGTAGTCGTAGCACAAAGCCTTGTATTCATATTCGTTCCATAATGCGTTATGTTCATCTTTGGGATACAACTGCATGTCTAGGTCTAGTTCCCATTCTAACCGAAATCTCAAAATACTTCAAACCGCCTTCATATTATGCCTGTTTACTTAATACCAATTCTGATCAAATTTGCATTACTATAGATTTCATCAGTCTATCTCACAATAAACGACTGTTCCTTAATGTTCAACCACACAAAACCTGAAACACTACAGCAATGTGGCTGATGGTTAAAGTTATGTGTACAGCATTTTGTTTGCTTCCTCATGAATGAAATAAGTGGCAGTTAACATAGATATTGAAACAGGACTAACTGCCGAATTTTATTCTCGCTTGATTTCTGCAACAACTAGCTATTCCAGTGTTAATTGAAGATTAGTTTGGTAACACATGTAGCTTAATTACTACTCAAACATACTGGTAAGTCTTGCATGCGTGCGTCACATAGATGCTGTCACTCCACATATACAGGACTTCGCATGTCTTCTCGAAGCAGATTCGTGCTCGGAGTCTCTATACACGCTTATATAAGCCTGAATTGGCCAGGCAAGTACACTGCAGGCTTCATGGTTGGTCCATTGGGGCTCCTGACATAAATATACAGACAGACGGACGGACAGACGGACGCACGGACAGACAGACAGACAGACAGACAGAACAGACACACAAAAGAGACAAAACACAGAGAGAGAGAGAGAGAGAGAGAGAGAGAGAGAGAGAGAGAGAAAGGGAGAGAAAGAGAGCGAGAGTGTGCATGTCAATGCATGCAGTTTTTGGTGATTGTATTTTGCAAAATCGCGGGCGGGTTCAGACTGCACATACATTCCCTTTCCATTCTGCCTTTGTAGGTATGTATGCAGGTACCTGCTCATGCAGGTACAGCTTTCCGTGCTCAAGGTGTCAATTCCGGAGCCCTATAGACCCCATCAGCCTAATACTACAAGGCCCGTAAACCCTCAAAACCCTATAACCCCCACAGTAGAAGCCCTGACGCATAAAGCCTGACACGCCCGTAGCTCCGAAGCTCAACAAACAGCCCCGGATGTCGGGGCCCCAATGGCCTCCTTCGTCCCCTCCCAGAGTGGAAGCACCTGGGCGCTTTTCGGGGGTTCCACGGGGTTTAGGGCTTAGGGTTTAGGGAACTTCCCCCGTAGAATCACAAGGCCTCCGGGTTTCTGAGCTCAGAATCGAGCTGGGGATCAAAGCTTCGACTCGTTCTGAGATGCTTTAACCCGGAGATACCCTGAAACCTTCCACCCGCAACACGCCCGCCTGGTCCCGCACCTCAGCGCTTGCAAGCTGCGCCAGGGAAAGCTGGCAGCCGCCGATGAAGCGGAAACCAAAGGTGCCTCCCGATGAGACTCCTCTGTGCGACTAGCTGACTAGCTGCAGCATCGTCATTCAGTCTGATCTGCAAGTGGCATCGAAGATGTAGGCCATTAGTCCCAGTGATACGGTATACTACGCCATATTCCATTACTCGTCTTCGCCACATAAACCTCTCTCTTCCTCCTCTTGGCAGCCTTCCTCTGCATGGGAACAGACAGCAATCGCCTTCGCGTCTCAGCTGAAACGAAACCTTCCGCGCCTGAGGCGGGATCTTGCGAGTATTACAAAGTGGGGCATCAGGCTTAAAGCAAAACCAGGAACCTTGCCCAAATACCATCCCAGTAGCAGTGCAACAGCAGCAGTCGCAGCAGCAGTAGCCGTAGCCGTAGCAGCAGAAGCAGAAGCGCAGAAAAAGCAGTAGCAGCGGTAGCAGCAGTGCGGTGGTGGCAGTGGTGCTGGTGCTAGCAGTAGCAGGAGCAGTAGCAGTGGCAGAGGTCGTCCTCGTCGTCGTCGTCTTCAGAGTCGCAACCGTCGTAGTACCAGCAGTTCGTCGT